TATTCAGGTACAAGCTCTCCCTCCTCTGTGAGGACAGATCTGCACGCCCCCCCCCCCAATAGCTAGCAATCCAAAACAGTCCAGTAGAGCCTGAGCGGTGGGTGTTGCCTTCCGACACACTTCCGGTGATGTCAAGGGGTGTGGCACATGCAGATAAGTTATGCTAATGTGCTCCTGCACCTCTTTTTCTACGCAATGCTCCCTGACTGTAATAGATACCCACTTGCAGCCAGTTCATTTGGGAAGGGCGGTGGGAGAGAGGGAGAGATAGACAGAGACCATCCTTATATGGGGAAGGAAAGAAATCAACGAAGAGCAGACTTCCTCCGGAAGGACGGAACCATGGTCAAGATGAAAGCCCTCAACTGTAACCAGTCTAAGGCAGAATGGATCTTTTCCGGACTACAGTCAGAGTGGATGACCATCATCCCATCTGGGGGAAGGAATCTTGTAAAGGCTGACAACTGAAAAACTGGGATCTGGCCTCTTCCAGAGTCTTTCTGATGGACCCTCAGCTCCACCTCGGCCTTAGGCCAAGACACCCTCTCTGGCTTGGTTGATGGCCACAACACTGGCCTCACTTGCCCTTGCATGAGTGGGGTGTCTTGTACTGCTCAGAGGTCATTTCAGGGGGGAACGCGGGGGAACGCAGTTCCCCCGGGTGAGGTGCAGGGGGCGGGGCACATGATGAAGCCCCGCCCCCGCTTCCGGCCGCCCCGCTTCCGGCCCTCATTCAGCCAGGAGGAGGCAGGAGAAGAGGGAGGGTAAGTTGCTTCCTCCCCGCCTCTCCCCACCCCTGCCTTGGCGGGGCTTCCTCGCATTCCCACTGGCCTTGCAGGTCCACCGCCAGGCCCCTGATGTCAGGGGGTGTGGCATATGCTAATGAGTTATGCTTTTTCTACGAAATGACCCCTGGTACCGCTTTATATGGCCATGCTGAACATCACTTTCATGGCCGGCCCAACTTCTCGAAGCACCCAGTGGTGGCCAAGTAGCACGTCAGGCTGCACAAACATATATTGCTGTTCAATATTTTGATTCATGCATCATCCTAATGGCAGCAATTCCTACCTTTGACACCTATGAAAGACCCTTACCCAGAAAAGCCACGCTCCCATAGATCTCCTGCATGACTTCCCTGTAGAGAGCTTTCTGGCTCAGATCCAGCAGGGCCCACTCTGCCACAGTGGATTACACGGCCACCTCCTCAAAAGAAAATGGAGACTGAAAAGAAAAAGCAGAGATCAGAGATCATGCCAGGCAGGGACTACACACTCGGCGGGGGTATTTCGTGAGGGTGCAGGATGTAGACCTTGGTATGTGGAAAAGCAGTGTCCTATCACATGCGATAGGACATTCCGGCTCCCCCAGGTCTCGTTAGGGGCTCTTTTAATAGTTATGGCCGCCACCGCTGGCGACGACAGCTGCAACAGCTGCGGGGACAGGGCACAAAACATTCCTCTACCTCCCTGAGCCCCGGGGTGGTGGCCTTGGACTCCTTGGGGCAAATTCCACCTCTCGCGTGTGATATCCGAGCGGCAACACAAGAGCTCTCACACGTGAGAGGTCATTCGCTCCCCCAGGTCTCGTTAAAGGTAAAGGTTCCCTTGCTCGAAAGCCAGTCGAGTCCGACTCTAGGGTTGCAGTGCTCATCTCCGATTCAAAGCCGAAGAGCCAGCGCTGTCCGAAGACGTTTCCGTGGTCATGTGGCCGGCATGACTAAACACCAAGGCGCACGGAACGCTGTTACCTTCCCACCGAAGTGGTACCTATTTATCTACTTGCAATTTCTTGCTTTCGAACTGCTAGGTTGGCAGGAGCTGGAACTAGAGATGGGAACTCACTCCATCATGCGGCACCTGGGTCTCGAACCGCTGAACTACCGACCTTCCACAGCCTGCAGTTCAGCGTCTTAACCACTTGAGCCACCGCAGCTCCGTTAGGTCTTGTTAGGGGCTCTTTAAATAGTTATGGCCACCGATGCTGGCAGCTGCAACACTGCGGGGAGGGGGGGGGGACAAAACTGTTCCTCCGCCTCCCGCCTCCCTGAGCCCCCGGGGTGGTGGCCTTGGACTCCTAGGGGCAAATTCCACCTCTCCAAGTGATGTCCCAGCGGCGTTTTGGAATGGACTTTTGGGGATTAATGGTATGGAAACGTGAGAGAAGACTTTAAACTGAAATTGCTTATTGTTTTGTGAAAACTGACATAACACTTCGTAATTGTATGTATTATGGGTTGCTCCAAACATGGTTATCTGCTTTGTAAATTAAAAAGAAAGGGGGGGAAATTAACAAACTAACAGGCAGGCGCTGCCTTCCTTAAATGCCACTTTGGGCGGGAAAACAGCGAGGCTGAAATCCCGCTCACCGCCCTGACAGCCGTCACAAGCCCCTCCTCGCCCCTCCCCTTCCCAAGAAGCGATGGTGACGTAAGCGCCGTCAAGACAGTGCGAATACTGATACTGGCCGGGAGTGGGGAGAGAGAGAGAGAGGTCACGCGGCCACTCCCCGCTCGATCCCGTCACCTTCGTCCCTGGTGCGCGCACAAGAGCGGGGAGTGGCGGTGGAAGGTCACATGGGCAGGGCAAGGTAGGAGGGAATGGCCTATCACGTGGTGAGGGCGGGCGAGCGGGCGGGGGACCCAGGCAATAAAACCCGCCCGGTGCCCCGTCATCCTCCTCACCGTCACGTGACCCCGGCGGCCCGGAAAGATCTGAGGCGGAGCTGAAGGGGGGGGAGGGCTCCGTCGGCCGCCATTTTCCTGCGGCGGTCGGCTGTATGTGTGAGACTCCGGCTGGGGCGGCCGAGCGGCGGCTGGGCGCGGCGGCAGGGTCCCTTCCCGGGTGACCAGCCCGGCTCTTCCCGCAGGCGGAAGGTCCGGGGCCAGGCGGCGGGGTGGGGTCCAGCCGGGACCGCCCTCTCTCCTTTTCCCATCCCTCCCCCAGGTTCTCGCGCCAGGTTAGCATCGGCGGCGGCGGCGGCTGGTGGGCTCCGAGTCGGGCACCATGTCTGGGCAGAGCATCACCGACCGCATCACGGCGGCGCAGCACAGCGTGACCGGCTCGGCCGTCTCCAAGACCGTCTGCAAGGCCACCACGCACGAGGTGATGGGCCCCAAGAAGAAGCACCTGGACTGTGAGTTGGGCTCTCTGCTCCCTCCCCGCCCCGTCCGCCGCTGCTTCAGCTTCCCACCCTGAAAGGAAAAAAAAATCTCCCGTTTCCTCTCCCTTGTGGAATTCCATGCAGCGCCCCTTTTCTCCCCATTAAGCCCCCTTCTCACGTTACGATTCCCGCGTGTGCATGCGAGTGTGGGCCTGC